TTGTCCTCGTTGACGTTCTGGCTAATGGCTGCAATTGTCCTCGTTGCTTGATGATTGAAGTTATTGATCATTTATTCTTTTACTTGTGATCCCTTCAAGGAAGGGAGGCTCTTCTATTCTGGAGGGTCTGGAATTCAGAATCGCAGAATTGAGCTAAGTTATAGATTGGACTTAATTTTTGTTATTGCCTGTACAAGCCTTTATTTATCGCAGCTAATCCTTTAAAGGATATTTAATAGTGCGCGATTTTGTTTTGCGAATTTAAAACACTCGCGAGCCCCACGTTGGGCGCCAATTATGTTTCCCCATTTGGGAAACAGTAAAAAAATATATATTAATCCGCGTCTTCGCGGATAAATTAAAACTCGAGTTGTTTAAGTTACAAACTTTGAGAAAAGAACCGTCTTTATTTTCAATCTTAGCCTATTTATACATTTGTTATGTTTACTTAATAATTAATTTCACCATAAGGCGTTGGCATTGCATCACGCTATGATGAAATGCCAATGTCTTGGACAAAGAAGTTATTTGACGCCTTTGAATGGAATTTTCCATTCTGAGCGGAAAAAATATATCAAATTTCAATTCTGAACAAAGAAGTTAAATGAGTCGCAATTATGCAGCTGCATAATTGCTGAGTATGCAAAATTGTATTATGAATCTGTAAGATACAAATTATGCTTTATTGTTTATATTAATCACTAGCTTTTACCCGCGGGTTTCACCCCGCACTTTTATACAAATATGAAAAATAATTTAATGCTGTTAGATTTCTGTGGCCATTTCGTTATAGCTCGTTATTTTTTAAGCGAGTTAAGGTATTTAGGCCGTTTAAAACTATGAAGTTATAAAATCTCGTCTGCGCGCTAGGCATACGAAAGATATCAATCTCTCTAAGTTTACCTTAAAATGGTTCCAGGTATACGACGCGTGAATGTGTAACCTTCTTGGAGGTGTCACGGCGGGTTCTAATATTTCCACCTCAAATTTAGTAACCTCGCCTTGATAAAATACCACTTCTCATTACTGTAGCAAATGCCTCAAGAGAGCTTTAGATTATAAGGCCGAACCCGGCTCCCCCTTTTCCATTTAATGAAATTTATTGTCAGTACCGCACTTATAAAATAAATCTCCATAACAAATTTAAAATACTTCGAGAGATTTTCTATCCTTCCAGAGATATGTATTAAGAAGTTTTTAGTATGTATGGGAGGCGACATGCCTTCTTTTTTAGTAACTCACATTTTTTCCCTGAGCAATTGATACATTTTGTATACACAACTCCATACCAAGTTCCAGTATTCTTCCACAAACACTTCCAGGGATATGTGGCAAGAAAAAGCAAATGTGTACTGGAAGTGCCACGCCCCTTTTTCTTATAACCCTAATCTTCTTCCATGAATTTAGAATTGATTTTACATACCCCAGTACCAAGTCCCAGTACTCTACCATGAACACCTCTAGAGATAAGCAGTATAAAACAGTAAATTTGTCCATGAGAATGGAATTAATTTTGTATACACATCTCGGTGCCAAGTTCCAGTCTTCTGCAATAAACACCTCCAGAGATATGCAGCATAGAAAAATCAATTTGCATGGGAGTTGCCACACCACCTTTTCCAATAACTCTCATTTTTCTCCATGAGTATGGTATTAGTTTCACATACATACATATGTATTTCCATTCCAAGCTTGAGCGATTTACCCCAAACATTAGAAGAGATATGCAATATGAAACTTTCAGTCAGTATGGGAGGTGCTACTCCTCTTTACCAAAAACGTCCATTTTTCTCCGTGAATATGAACATGATTTCACACAGTGTTGGCAAACTGTTAATCTCATTAACGATTAAAAATTAACGATTAAAATGTTAATCGCGTTCGACGATTAAAATTAATTAGTCGTAATCAACTGTACGATTAATGATAAAATTTTTTTAATCGTTAATCGCTGGCTGCGATTACGGTTAATTAATTTAAAACATTAATCGTTAATCCAATTAAAAATAAAATCTGATTAAATTGTCTAGTTTGTCCGAGTTTGAAACCAAACACCAGTTATAGTAATTATTTTGTGTTTTACGCTTATAAAAAGCACATAATATAAAAAAATTATAATTATTGTTATTAGTAATACATAAACTGGGAACTTTTACAAACCTAGTTTGTAAAACGTTTGTTGGTATATATCTTAATGAAAATGCACAGCAAATTGCTTAGATTGATGAGGAAACCCGACTTAGCCATACCGGATTAACTTGGTTTGTGTGCACAGGGAAATTCCAGCATAACTTAATTAATCACCAAACCTACTTGATCAAATTAAGAGTTAATGATTAAAAATTAATTTTTTAATCGCGGTTACGATTAACTGTTTAGTCAGATAAACATAATCACGATTAACTGTGATCAGATTGAATTTAATCGAATTAACTAACTGATTAAAACATCAATCGATTAATTCCAACATTGAGTTCACATACATATCACTATACCAAGCTTCAATTCTCCCCCACAAATACTTCCAGAGATATGTATGTAATATGAAAATTCCAATTTGTATGAAGGGGCCTTGAAGTCCGGTAACTTTCCGTCTAAGACCATCCTTCCGAAATCCGTAGTAAGCGTACTAAATTTCGTTCTGATCGGAAAACCGGTTAAGGAAGTAGCCTATTTTTCAATCCAGGTCATAAACATCTTTGAGCAAAATTTCATTTTCAAACAGCTGGCAATTCTTAAAAAAGTAGCCTATTTTCCAGTCTAGGTCATAAGCTATCAGTGTGCAAACTTTCACGCAAATCAGTTCAGTCATTTACGCGTATTAATTTAATTAAACTTTTCTAATACGTGATAACTCTTAAAATAGTAGCCTATTTTCCAACGTAGGTCATAAGCTATCTCTGTGCGTAATGTCATGCAAATCTGTTCGGTCGTTTCCGCGTATTAGTTTAATTAAAACTTTTTTAACAGGAGGCAACTCTTCCAAAAAATTAGCCTATTTTCCACTGTAGGTCATAAGCTATCTGCTTGCAAAATTTCATGCAAATCCGTTCAGACTTTCCCGCGTATTAATTTAATTAAACTTTTTTAGCAGGTGGTAACTCTTAAAAAAAAGTAGCCTATTTTTCAGCCTAGCTCATAAGTTATCTGTGTGAAAACTTCACATTTCTAACAGGTGGTAACTCTTAAAAACAGTAGCCTACTTTCTAACGTAGGTCATAAGCTATCTGTGTGCAAAATTTTATGCAAATCCGTTTAGTCGTTTCCGCGTATTAATTTAATTAAACGTTTTTAACAGGTGGCAACTCTTCCAAAAAATTAGCCTATTTCTCACTGTAGGTCATAAGCTATCTGCTTGCAAAATTTCATGCAAATCCATTCAGTCGTTTCCGCGTATTAATTCAATTAAAATTTTTTAACAGGTGGAAACTCTTAAGAAAAGTAGCCTATTTTCCAATCTAGGTCATAACCTATCTGTGTGCAAATTTTCATGCAAATACATTCAGTCGTTCCCGCATATTAAATAAATTAAACTTTTTAACAGGTGGAAACTCTTAAAAAAATAGCCTATTAACTAATCTGGCCCATAAGCTATCTGCGTACAAAACTTCATGCAAATCTGTTCAGTCGTTTCCGCGTGATGATTTCCCAAACATCCAAACATACAAACTTTCACATTTATAATATTAGTAAGATAAGATTGTGCCGCTATGTGTGATCTGCCGTTAACTTGCATACATTTGTATGTAGTTAACTTACATACATATGCCTCCTCAGAATGCTGTATATGTATTCTTGTAATACTAGATATAGGGTGCGATCAGAAATGCATCAAGCCAAAGCATCAGTCTATTTCACTTCTAAACTATAACTGATGGAAATGCCTTATTTACGCAACTGAGTTCCATTTAGGCATTTAACCGTGGTTGCGCATATTGGACATTTCCATCAATTATAGTTTAGAAATAAATGCGTCTGATGCTTTGGCTTGATGCATTTCTGAAAAAAATTTTTTTTTTAGTTTCACTTTTATTTCAACATATTTTGATTAAAAGAAAAATACTGATAAAAATAAAATTTTTCATATAAACAAGGTTGAAATCTTGAAATTGTGTATTGTATTGTACCAATCTTTTGAATGCAAAAAAAAAATTTCCCACTTTTTTTTTACCAATAACCCAATATAAAAATTTACAAATCTGTACAAATGTACCAATCGAGTGACACTGCCTTAAAAATTGATGCAATTAAAAAAAAATTCTACAAATTTTCGAGTTTTTTAATTAAATTCTGAGTATGCAGTTTTGTAGCCCATTGAATTCTAGTAGAATAAAGTACAGGTTTCAAATAGCTAAAAATGTCGATTGATTTTTTAGAATTTTTAAAAGTTCGAAATTTGTACGAAAGTTTGTTGATTTTTTTTTAATATTGCACAAATGAGTAGTCCACTTGCAAACAGCGTTATGTGATTTTATAATAGTGATCCATAAATAAAAAAAAAAACGTCTACAACAACAAGTAACATCCAAATTGCATATCTCTCTTTATTATCTGAAAATTTTGATAAACAAGAGCCTAATAACATTAAAAAACAATATGGCAATGTGGTAGTTTTTGCAAATTTTATATATAAAAATTGAATATAGCGAGTTTTGAAACAGTAACTTTTACATAGCTATCTTTTTTTTTGCTTTTCGCGTTCGCTCTTCCATGTAGGGACACGAATTTCGATACGATACGGTACCATATCGATACTTTTGGCATTCGATACCGATATTTTCTAACCGATATTTTAAAAACGATATTTTTTGTGATCGAGTACCAGAACCCTAGTATCGTATCGAATGTCATAAACTCACATTACAAGGATAATGTTATTAACAATTCGTCCCGATATAAATTGGGCTTTAAAGAGCAGAAATGTGTAATTAGTTAGGATTGCATGTAGTGGAATTTGACCCCGCGACCTCGGTGTTTTAAGTCAACACATCAATCTCTACGTGCTGTTACAAAGTATGTTAGTGTTTGACCGAGATTCTCCTCCGATTTGTCGTGCGCGCCTTAATGTTGTGGCACAAAAGGGGTCCCTACCAGCGTTGCCGCGAATCATTTTTACTGGTAGCCAAATTCCTTTAAAAAAGGGGCTAAAAGAGAGCTAAAAAAAGTCGTANTACTGGTAGCCAAATTCCTTTAAAAAAGGGGCTAAAAGAGAGCTAAAAAAGTCGTTGTGGCTAAAAATGGTAGCTAAAATATTTTACTTACATATACATATATAAGTATACACGCAAATATTTTCAATAAGTAATGGTATAGACAAACAACGAACTATGGAAAAAAAGCAAATATTTTATCCAACCAAAAACCTTTTTGTATAAAAGGGGAAATATACGACACCAGCTTGCTGGCTCCACCAAATGATGGTACCATCAGGTTCGAAGCATATAACTTACAAGCATGCTGGTACAATATTTATTTCTTTACAAATGAGGTCGAGGAAAGATCGAAATGATTACAGCCGAAATTTCATAATTTTTCTACCATTTTGTCAAACATTGTTTTTTTTTTTAAATTCACAACTGCAACATCGTGAACTTAATCTTCCACAAACACGGCTCTGACTCATATAGTGCAAGAAATTTCCGCCAAATTACTTTTTACTTAGAAAATTGGGCTAATTTCACCACTCACGATACCAGCAGCTGGTACAATCACACCACAAGAACATACACAGTCAATCGACTTGATGGGCCATTTAACAACCCTGTGGGATCTCGGAATAGACTTAAAGCACACCACGAACTAGACTGCAAGTGATTGTAACTAGTCCAAAGTTTGGTCCAACAACATGTAAAACTCTATTTACATTTAAAATTGAATGTCCTAGGCTCGGACCAATTGTCCGCTTCTGCATTACATTGTAACCAATTTTGGGGAAAAAAAAAAAAATAAAACCTGCGCCGGCTGTGATTCGAACCGGGGTTATCAGATTTTATAAGCGGATACTCTCTCCGCATGCCAACGTCGCACATGAAAATTTGTTGACTAAGTGCCTACATATCAGCAAGTCGTTAATTGTACCCGTTGTCCGCTATTGCATGACATTGTATCCAGTTTTAGATCAAAACTCATAGCTTATGCATTACATTCGGACCACTTTTAGTACAATTCACCTGTTCTACATTACATTGCTTTATATTATTGGACTATCTTTGGTCTAGATACAAAGCTACTATACCTACGACTATATTTTTCGAGCGATTGGACCAATCTTTCCTTCAGGGAAATTAATCATATTAAGGGCCGTAAACTTATCTATTTTAAACTATATGTATAAATATATAAGTCTTTCTTAGTTTAAAAATTCATCTCTTATATAAATGAAAAAAGATCAAATTAAGCATATACAACTTTTTCATGCCAAGTATAAGTAAATTCTCCAAAGGGCTAAAAAAAGGGCTAGGGGCAATTTTAAATTTATGTGGCCAAAAAAAGTATGTGGTAGCTAAATCTAGCCACCGAAGGGCTAAAACGGCAACACTGGTCCCTACAGTTTTAATGGGAAGCTGTTTTTCATTTTCCAGCTGTGCGCACTGCTGACCATTACACCACAGCGGCCCATATACGAGACCTATATTAACATAAATCTTTTTGCATTTTGGTATCGATATTTTGAATATCGAGTCGTTTTAATCCGATATTAATGGGTACCCGATATTTTTAAAGAGATACTATAAATGAGTACCATATCGATACATTCTGTTCGATATCGTGTCTCTACTTCCATGAAGATTGGTCTGCTTCTTTTTTACGACGCCTTCCACTAGGCACCGAAACTACCACGTTTTCTTGCAGTTTTCTAAGTTCATCAGAAGATTGAGACTTTTAAAAGTGTATAAATAAGTATTATAGCGACTTTTGCAATAGTAGTTAACATTTGATGCTATTTTTTCAGAAAATATAAAGATTTTGCACTGTATTGTTAGTGGACATGAAACTACTTTAAATACTGGTACGTTACTCACCAAAAACTAAAAATCTAAAAAAATTTACATAGCGCCTTTGCAAGTGGACTGCTCAAATTTGGAAACATGAATTTCCACGGGTTTTGTTAAAGAACGAACTATATTTTTATTTAAAAATATAACAAAAGTTCAATAACAACAAATATAATACGTTAAAACTTGGCAAAAAGTGGTTCGTTTATAATTTTTTGACCACTGTATGTATTTTTTATATCTTTAACACATCCCCCCCCCCATTAAATACGGCCTTGCCTGGTTATATAAAATAAAACGAAAAAGTCAAAATAATATAATGTAAAAAAATATTTTTTAAATATAAGCTTTTGTTTAACATGTACAATCAATGGAATAAAATAAAGTGGTGAAACAAAATTTTTAGCAAGAAAATTTTGTTAAAACTGCACTAAAATGAATAAAATAAAATAAGTTAAGCTTTCGTTAAAGTTACTAAAATCCAAATAGGGAAAGGAGTTACTCAAACTCTAATGAAAATTACTAACAATTTGTACTGATTTACTTCGTTTTTAAAAAGTTTGTCTTAGATTTTAAACGACCAGAATTCATCAACAAATTTTCTGATTTTAGTTTTGCATATTTTTAGTAGATATGTACATACATATATGTACGCTTCAAGACAGCATCAGATTTTGTGTTGAACACTCGATTTTTTAGAAATTCTTGCTTTCTCTAGCGGTTTATCGTTTCACTTTTAAAACCCCCAATTTAGCACGCGTTCGCACAGTGGTTCAGAGCTCACATCTAGCACGACAAAATTCGTATCTCCTGCGAACCATGGCGGATTATTCTCAAATTTTAACATAGTAATCTACTTTAGCAGGGGCACATTTGAAGCTGAGTCTTGCTTCGATACCTCTAGCGGTACCGGAGTCGGAGTTATAGCCTAAACTATAATCACAAGAAATGGATAAGATTCACTTTCCGTAAAATTATAAAAAATATGACAATATCAGTGTCAAATGAAAGGTAATCTGAAGTGTTTTAATCCATACATATTTTCGGGTTGCCACCCAGTCAAAATTTTAAAGTTATGTTACAATATCCGTTTTAATAATATTTCCGAGAGAATAATTTCTATAAGGGCCAAATTCACAGTGCGTATTTAGCTCAGAATCGGTAGTTAACTACAGATTTTTGTACTGAATTTGGCCCTAAATGAATGTATTTTTATGTTTTGTTAACCATACATGAACTTCCAAGTATTAAGCACATTTTTACGTTTTTCCAACGCCCACATAAAAACAGTAAAGTTTGTTTTTCATAATATTGTTTTTATTTTTATTTTTATTTATTTCTTTTTTTTATTATTTGAATTTAAATTTATTTCGTTGAAACTCTGTTCTCTTTTCAAAAAAGATATTTTTAATATTTAAACATATAGCAACCTATTTTCTACATTTAAGTTTATAGTTTAGTATGAAAATAAGTGTCCCCAACTTCATATATTTTTATGGATCGAAGACTTTAAAAACCACAGCCTTAAGTTCGGTTGGGCTACTAAGAGAGTAGCTCAAGCAGAAAAATAAAAGTTCTTTATATTAATAAGGGAACATAGAAGTAAAAACAGTTCAGGGGACTATTTTATAATACGATGAAATCTGAAGTTCATAAAAGAAATGTACATACAGTGAAACCCGCTTAAGTTTGNCTAAACACCTTCGGCAAAAAAATTCAAAAAAATCAACGGTAATTTTTAGCCACTTGAAACTTGCACATTATTAAACTAAAATTGAAAGGCCAGTACAATTTTATACTAAAAAAAAATCTTCTGGGTTAAAAGATTGAAATTTTGATACGTTTTTTTAAGTGTTCTACAAAATCTTAAGCTTAGGTTTATATGGTATATTTATACTATAAATATTTATAATCAATGACTTTTTAAAGAATATAATTTTTGTAAAAATTACATGCCGTTGCTTTATCTATTTTTTTTACAATTTCTTTATTTGTTTAGATAATGCTATGATCTTGGTTTTAAACTACGTATACTTCATTAAATATTCATGTTTTAATCAAGGAATTACATATTTTAACAAGAAGATGTATCTACATCAATAATTATGTTCGCTTAAGTACCCGCAGCGAGGTACTTAAGCGTGTTCTTTTAAGTACCCAACCCGCCTAAGTACCTCAAAATGCTGACATTTTTCATGAGGTACTTAAGCGGGTTTTACTGTAGTTTAAGAAAAAACCTGGAGTCAGTAGCAATACTTGTTTGTCCTATCAATTTCATTAAGTAATTCAGCGTGTGGCGCTTTAAGCAGATTCATCGCATCTGGCTCAAGTTTCTTCTTTTTACTGCATTTTTTTTTGTTAACTTAATTCAGATATTATAGGATCTGATGATAGCAAAAAATAGTTTATAGCAATATCTTTTCTACTTCTGTGTTCTCTTATGAATTTAAAATCCTTATTTTTTGCTTCTTGTGCTTCCTCTCCTAGCTGACCAATAGGTGGAACTGCATGCTTTATAACCTCTGTAGTGCGATTCCCATTTTTCTTAACGACAATATTCGTATCGTTAGCTAACCATTCCGACAAGTTTCGTTAATTGCAATTCTCAAGCAAACTTTTAGCGAATATTGTCGATAGCTTTGACAGTTGGTCGATAGCCTCGCTACGAATATTTTGTCGTTGAAAAGCCTTACGCTAAAATTGGTTTAAGTTTTTATTGAGAAAAATTAGGCAAAATTCATCGGCAAGCAAACTATTATAATAAAAAATAACTATCTCGATACAATAATATTGGAACTACAAAATAGTTATATTTTCAAAACTTGCAATCGCTTGCACTTTTTTTAAATCTTCGGTGAAAATGTTTTTGTATTAAATAAAATCTTTCCTTTTAACCGAGATGTAACTTAAAGTAAATTATCTTTAATTTCCCTTTTCGCTTGTAAACATAATAGAGAAAAACAAATAAAAGAAAATAAGGGTAGCTGAAAGTAAATGAGATTATAAACTCCAAGAAATGCACGTTTGATCAAAGGACTTTATTTTATCGAAAATTTTTTTAAAATAATTTTCTTACTTTGGTAACGTCATACGTTAAAAGTACCCATAATTTCAGGATAATGTTCTTGTTTTGTCATGACTCATATATTTTACTGTAAATTTGAGTGGTGGTTTTTTGTTTTTGCTTATGTCAGAAATTTGATTTAAGTCGCACTAAAATTGAGTTCTGATAGTTCGTCGGTTTGAAAGAAGCAGAAATGTAAGTTTTGTGTTTTTTCATATTTTTAAATAATTGTAATTATTTAGTGGTATTTATTAAAAGGTGTGTATTTCCCTTAATTAGAATTAATTTTAATAGCATTGTTCGCAGATGCTTTTACGACTGTGAAGAAAATGTCCCGCCAACGAAACGACACACAATTTCGATGGAAAATAATTACATGACTTATTTGGATGCAAATACTATAGGCCTTGCAAGAAAGTAGCAGAAGAGGAAGTAGTTTGTGCTACAACGGAAACCAAGTAGACCAGAAAGTTGCAAATATTGCACAAGATTTATTAACAATCGCGAATGTAAAAAAAATTGACATACAAATTTCAAACTTTTTAGTCGAAATTTCTAGAGAAAACTCGGGTATACACTTTTACAGCCCATACAATATTAGTATCGCATTGTGCTAAGAATTCGTTGATTTTTGAGATTTTTTTTTGGAGGTTTTGCTCATTTTCTTCCGTATGTGTAAAATAACTTTCAAATATACTTTATATAAGAGAAAATGTGTAACAGCGTCAGGAATTTAGAAGTGAAATCTTCTTCGAAAAACTCGATTTTTCAAGCGCTTCGCTTCCCTTATAAATTCGCTCGCGGCACCACTGCACACTGGCACATTTGCGAGAGAGAAATGCCAAAACTCGAAGAAGAAATTTTGCAAGAAAAACGTAAACAAGTTGCACAAGTGTGACGTCATACAAACAGCGGTTCTGTCAAATTCACTGAGAGCGGAATAGCGGTACCGAGATATCCGCCACCTTTGTTCTCTACCCCTGCAAAAATCGCGACTACTCCATGCATGCGTGTAAAGAGTACTCCCTAAGGACCAAGGAGTACTCCAAAATTAACCACAATTCATATAAAAAATATGATCCAATTAACATTGCGATGTCCTAGGGCAGGACCATATACTCCCTCCCTGCATTACATCAGAGTAGCACAAAACTACTCCAACATATTAACAATGGCATTGTTGTTATATTTTTTCGTTTGTACACGCTTTTGTTCTTCACTTCTCAAATGCTTTTTCGAAATTAATAAAAACCAAGACAAAAATTAAAAATTACATGTTGCCTCTGACGGCATTCGAACCCGAACATGCTGGGAGCTAAGAACTAACAGCGAGCATCTCTACACCTTCAGCTACAGCCAGACATGCAAATGTGCTTTCAAATGCTCAACTTCAATCACATTTCGTTAAAACACGAGCAGTGATCGGGTAACAAACAATAAGCTGGCACAGAGACACGAGTTGGTCCGCTACAGCATGACAGAGGAGTACTCCAATATACCACAAATAGACTACATGGTCCAACGATTTTTGCAGGGACATCGTGAGTGGTTATTATAATCAGTTATTTACATTACGAGGCACGTTGTCATTTTGAAAGCTCAAAAAAATTTGTACTTCACACCATTGCCGGCTTTATTGGCGCCTGCGCCGTTGGGCCGCATGCACGTGTTTCACTGGGGTCAACAGTGCAGTGTTTGTAATCAAACCATTGTCAATGGTTAAAACACCAAAACAAGTCCTGCGCACTGCATCTTAGAAGATAGCAACAAGTTGGAAGTTTTCTAATTCCAGGAATTTCGGAAAAACTCAACACAGCTCTTTGAGCTTTCAACACGCCTTCAAGGCTTTTTAAGCTTTGTCGATTTTCACGGACTTGAAATTTTATCAGTTGCTGTGCAGACCTGGTGAAGTAAAGATTTTAATTCGGAAAAACTCAGAGTGAAACTACTTTGTGTATAAGTATATATACATTTATGTATCTAAATTCATTATAGGCAAATTTTCAAGATCCATGAGACTGAAAATTTTGCTGTAAGCAAATTAAACATGAATGTAATGTAAATAATTAAGGAAAAGAAAGGAAAAATGCATACATATGTGCATGAATTTATGTGTTGAGAAGTGATAGTTTTCCAATTAAATGAAAAATTATTTAGTGATTCTTTGTGTAATAACGGGATTTTTTGAGTAAATGTGTTAATGAGTGCAAATATTTTTCCATATAGTGAAAAGTAGTCGATTGAAAAAATGATTTTCTGGCGTTCAAAAGCTATCTGCAGATACGATATTTCGCAGGAGAATATAGAAAAAAGTTGGTAAGTTGAAATTAATTTAGCTTTTGAGATATACATAGTTCTATATTTTAACAAAATATTTGCATTAAACCCGAGTATGATTTGCTGGTAAAGTGTGAAAAAAATTGGAAAAATACTCCAAATGATAGCGAAAAAATTTGTATGTATACTCAGCCAATTTCGTCTGCTTTAACGATTTTTCCAATGACCTTGTTGCGTATCAACGCGCAACGCGCGACATATACAAATGCATACTTACACCCTTCTACTTGCGTACATACATGCCAACATATCGACCTACCGTGCGAACAAACATACAAACATTTGAGCTATAAATTGTACATATATACGAACTTACATACATACAATGAGTAATTTGTTGTACAGGTTAGAAATTTCAGAAGGAAAATATTAGAGCAATGGACGAAATTTTTTCCTATTGTTTAACTTTTTATTTAAAAAGAATATATAAGTACGTACCTATGTATTTTTCTTTCTGTCTGGTGTGAACCGGACGAAATCTGTATGTGAATTTAGTGAGAAATTGAGAATTTTGATATTTGAAACTTTAAATTTAGTCTAAGGCCCGTTTCCTTAAGTAGGTTTTAAAATTTATGTGCTCTTTAAACATAATTTTAAAAGCTACTTGAGAAAACAACACTAGAAAAGCTATATTCAAAAATAATTTTTCGTTCATTTAAGTATCCAAAAACGTCCAAAATACAACGCGGGTTTTCGAACGGAAAACGACTAAAATTACACAGTGCTACGAAAAAAACACGAAATACAACCGAAAAAAAATTTTGTAAGTTGTAGGTAGGGTCGAGTACAACATGAAAATTGGTTTCTTATAGTTCCTGAATACTAAATTTTTATTTTATTTAAAAACGGCCGTTATGTTCGTACGTGACGCATTTATCTATTAACAGCTTGACCATTTTTCATCCGATTTTAACAAGCAAAAAAATTGGATTTATAGACCTTTAAAATTATGTATACAATATATTGTTAGACTTAGCTTGTTTGGAGTTTTTAACAGGTATAGTTTAATAAACCCCAATTTTTCTTATTTTTTTTAACTTTGACTCTCGTTAATATTTAAAAATGTTTATGAAAGCTGCCAAATATGTAGTATTTGTCTAAAAGGACATTTACTTTCAAGCAAATTGGTACTTTACTCAATGAAATCGAATAAAAATCGTCGAAGCTACTTAATTTAAAGAAATATATTTATCTACGGCCTTGAATTTGTATACATATGCGTATGTACTAGACTTTCAGATTTTTGAGCAGTGTGGCAAAAGGCGGATCTCCATAGCATGGTTATACGTATGCATGCGTTCGAAAGAAATATTTAATATATGTATGTACACATTTTTATAGAAGCACCTACATAATAACGCATGAAAATGTAAGAAAACTGTAAGAATTTTGATTTATAACCGTAAATGTCAAATTCAAAGGAATTCATTGCAATGGCTCTTTAGAAAAAAAATGATGTTTCACAAAATTCCGGGAATTTTCCTCCATATAAAAATAGATTTTAGCGTTATATGTAAGAAAACGCGCAACAATTTCCACAAAAAAATTCTAAAAATCAACGGTAATCTATAAAGACATGAAAGTTGCACTTCGCCTCACTAAAATTGAATAGGTTACAAAACTGAATAGGCACCCTGAAATTGTGCATATGGAAACTGTGCATACGAAATATTGCATATGAAAAAAACCGAAATAATGCATATATGCACAGTTTCAGTTGATAACAGCAATAAGGCATAAGAGAAAAAACCGAAATTATGCATATGTACACTTTCGTTTGAAAACCGAAATAATGCATATGACAAAAACCGAAATAATGCATACATGCACAGTTTCGCTTGAAAACGGAAATAATGCATATAAGAAAAACGAAGTAATGCATTCATGCACAGTTTCGGTTGAAAACCGAAATAATGCATATAAGAAAAACGAAGTAATGCATTCATGCACAGTTTCGGTTGAAAACCGAAATAATGCATATAAGAAAAACGAAGTAATGCATTCATGCACAGTTTCGGTTGAAAACCGAAATAATGCATATAAGAAAAACGAAGTAATGCATATATGCACAGTTTCGGTTGAAAACCGCAATAACGCATATGACAAAAACCGAAATAATGCATATGTCAAAAACCGAAATAGTGCATATATGCACAGTTTCGAATCAAAACGGAAGTAATGCATATGAGAAAATCCCGAAATT